AAAATTTTAGCAATTTTGATTAAATAGTTATTGAGATATTTTAATTTAAAAATTAAAAAAACTTTCTAAAATAATTTGTCTCTTTTCTACTAACTCAACTCTATATATATATATACTCTATTTTTGATTTGTTACTTTTTTTCAAAATATACACAAATGAGAATCTAAATTAGTACTACAAAGCTTTACTATTGCTCTTATTAAATATATATATATATATATATATATATATATATATGTATGTATATATTTAAATAGTATAGCAAAAGTTCATTTTAATTGGCTGTTAAAACACTCTGAAAAAAATGTTGATTATACTCTAGATAAAGTATCAGCTATACTTGGACAAGAATTTATTGCTTTCAAAAAAATTAGTTAATACTTTTTGAAAACATGTATTATAGTCTACAATATATTAATTTGTTTTATAATAGCTACTTTAATTCATCTTTCACAATATATATATTATTCTTTTTGTAATACGTACTGATATATTAATTTACAATAAACAATTAAATTTTATAATATATTATTAAACTAGATTCAAAACATAAGAACATTTCTAACCACTACTACTATAAAAGTTGTATTTAGAAGCTATATTTATAACCTATATAAATATAACAAAAAAAATTAAAGTACGGTATAAAATATAGTTCAAAATAGTATTTTTTATTAGGCAAGCAAAACTAGTAAAAATAAAATCTTGCAACTTCACTCGCCAATTGTTTAGATCACTGAACTATCTTCTGACCTTTTAAAATCTTTGCTTTTTATCTAGATTTTGAAACTATTATATTTTACTATATCCCAAGTTAAAAAACAGTAAAGCTCAAGGTAAAATACAAACAACTCAAATTAATTTCTATATTATATATTACAAAAAAATTTATTATATAACATAATGATTTTATGACAGGGTGAAACCTGTATTGCTTGCTAGTAAAACCCGCATTGATTGGCCCCATCATGTGAAACCTGAGATGGCAATGTAAAATCCACGTTGATTATTCATAATAGGTAAAACCCACTTTTTATTAGAGATCTTCATGTATATCCACTTTTCACTAGGTAAAATTTGCCTTTTCTTCATTTTATTGTGTAAAAACCGCCTTTATTAAATAAAAACTCACTTTTTCTTTATTTTATTAATAAACTCCGCTTTTTACAAGATGAAATTCGTGAAACTGTAATCAAAAATTTGGATCATATGACTAATTATCAGTTAGATAACGAGAGATCTCTCTAAGTACAAATCTCTTTAAAATACAGTATACTTGACTTCTATAAATACACTTTCTTACTGTTCTTCAACGCACATCGTTATAAGTTTGGTCTCTATGGGCTTGGATCAAAATCCCGACAAACAAAATCCTGAAAAGATTGACTAGATCTATAATTAACGCTAACCTAACTTGTTGGGATTTTGTTTGTCGAGATTTTGACTGTCTCCTGTCTCTATAAGCACATTTAGAAAGATCTCTATGTACAAGGCTACTAAGAATATCGAGAGTTACCTGCGAATCTAACATTAGGAAGATATTTTTATATTACTTTGTTAACTGTTATCATTATAAGCAAACCAAGTTTGGTACTTACTACAGAAAAATATTAGCAGTTTTTTATTAGCATAATCTATGAAGCATGGTGTCTCACCTAATATAACGATTAAAGAGAATAAGTAGAAACAACGAAGTCAACGATCATGTAAAGAGATTTTAACTTAGTACTAATTTGTATATCCTTTGATCGACTAGATGTTAAAAAAAATCAGTGGAGAATTTGGTCTGTGCATTTCGCAACTTGGATAATGCCTCTTGTGAACCTTCTGAGATTGTTGCACTCAAGATCTCTTCCTGTTCTAATGGAAATCCTCATGCGTTTTTAAAAGTAAGTTATTTAATTGTATATATATTGACTAATTCATATATAAATTTAGAACTTGAGAAGGTACTAGTCTTAAAATATATGAATTAACTAAAACACAGAAACAAAAGAATATATAATGATGTTTCAATATGCTAATACTGGTAAGTTCTTAAAAATTCTCGTAGTCTTGATTGGAGACTAAATTAAGACTGCTTTACACGATATTTCAAAAGATTTATTTAATATTTGCTATATAGGATACTTTTATAGAGCAATTGATTGTTCGAAAAGAAAGATGAAAATGATTCAGGTTTACAAGGTCAGCCATCCCAAAAGCTACTAATGTTTATGGACAAGGCTTTTCAATGGTGAATAATTTGATAAAGGATTTATAACGGATTGTTTCTGAATTCTCTTTAGAACTCCAAATTCTAATTTACAAAATGTATTTGTTTTATACGTAAGTATATTAAAAGTTTTTTTATTTTGTTGCTTACATAATTCATGCCATGTTTATATGCATAGCACATTACAATTACATATTATATTAGATGCAAGTCAATTTGGGGTGCCCATAAGTGCTATTTTGAGGGCATATGTATCAATTTAAAAGATTCAGGTTTCAAAATATTGTTTATGGTATGAAGGTTTTAATATCTAATTTGAAGACTAGCTATTGAGCATTTCATTACGTTTATGCATATAATTACAAAGAGCATTTAGACAAAAGTAATTTAGTTAATTAATTTTCATCACCTTATCAAAGGCAAAAAAGGCAATTTAATATCATATCAGCTTAAGCAAAAAATGCGTGCTATTGCTACTATGATCTTATGTACATAAAGCTTTTCAAGTCGAAATTAAATCCACTTTATTTGTTTATCTAATTAAATAAATTTTGTCTTTTAATCTTCTGTAGTTTGAAAAGCTCTTGGCTTGAAGTTAGAGTACCCTAACTTTTTAATATGATATGCTGATGTATTTAGACACTCTATAACTGGCATTAGCCTATTGAGCCCCACTGGAATCCATTAATCTCGTTGTCAACTGTCAAATTTGGCAGTATTCATTTTATTTTTTTTGTTTGTTGACTTCTTTCTTTCTACTATAGATTTTGGCTTGAGAAAACTAATTTTAATATAAGTACTAGATTTTTATACTATGTTTTTTTGCTAGACAAAATTGGCATAAGCAATAAGAATTGAACTGGAGTGGGAACTAAAAACTGGATCAAATGATAAGTATCAGTTTAATTTTTAGGTTCAGTTTTTTTTTTTTGCTTTATCAATAAGAACTAATATTTTTTTTACTTTTGTGAGTTATGGCTTTGTTAGACAAGAAACGGGCACATAACAGTAGCTTTGAACCTGGGCAAAGATGAGTATCCTTTATTCGATTATTTTTTTCTCAACAAAAATTTACACATCTCTTTAATAGACCTGTGATAAGAAATTCTAGACCTTTATATCTCAGTGAAATAGACAAAGAGTGTGTGGTTTATGAGGTTATAATATAGTTATTATGATCTTGATTTCATGATGTTACAATTAATAGTAGGTTTACAAGAGTGGATAGTTGCCACTATATGAATTATCATTCAGGATTTGTACTATATACAATATTGATACAAATGATATAATATGAATTTTTTATTTTAATAAATAAAAACAAATAACGTATTCATTTAAATTAATTGTCGTTAGTACAATCATTGTGCTCAACATTTTTATCCATTTATTAAAAAAAATTTTTTAACATATACAATATCAATATTATAGTCATTGTATAAGTTGTACAATGACATACCTTCGAAACAACCCAAACGTTGACTAAAACAGAATGGTAACAAGGATAAATTAGTCGTGGTTTTTCCTAAAATGTGTATAGTAATATCTTCTTTTTAAATTCTAGCTTCGTGAAGACTTCTATTGTCCGTATCGAGAAAACCTGATAAGATAATTTGAGAAGCTCTCTAACAAATCTGAGATGATAACAAAGTAATTAGATAAAAATTTTTAGATTCATGCCTGAGACTTCCTAGTATAAAGCTATATGGGCGAGTATAATTTTAATATAGAATCGTAGCCTGAAACTTGAAGAGTAATGTGTACTCTTATGTAATATTATGTATGTCAGTTAATTAAATAATTCAAAATTTAATAATACATACTAATAATTTAGAGCATTTCGATCTAGGCCAGTCTGTGAACTTAAAATTTTGAGCTTTCTGGGGGATGAGATGAGATAAAGCCAAAAAAGCCTGAAATAGTTAAAAATACTAATAATATCTGATGTACTGTATACTATACATATACTGTATATATTATACTAATTAATAAAATGTTGTGTATAATGTTTTTCATATGAAACTTTCTACTTGCTGAATTACTTTTAATAATTTATGTTGATTCGTTAACTTGTATTTTTGTTGAGCACGAGCAAGAACACAAAATTCAAACATTGGTATCCAAACAAATTTTTTTCTGGTCTTTACGTAGAATTTCCTAAAAAACAGGATACTAATGCCACTATACCTTTTTTGACCTTTTTTGGTAGAGGATAACCAAATATAAATTTATTTTTACCAAACATATGCATGGTAAATATCATATAAATTGGTTAAAGTTATTCTTTGTATTACTTCAGTATTTTAGTCTAATTATATAAATTCATCATGTTTATATAGAATCTTAACAAAAATGAGATAGAATATGTCACTATGCCTTTTTTGGTCAATTTGTTGTAATGCTTAAAGTTATTTTTACCAGACGTATGGTTAACCTTAATTTTATTGATAGAAATAAAGTATGCTGCTCCACCTTTTTTGGAATACTTCAGAAGAAAGTTTTTTTTCTCGTTATAATATAGTGAGGATGATGAAGCATGTAGTTATAGTGATGATATCATAATATTATATAAATTATTTAATTATCAATGCTGGTGAATAGTGATAGAAAATATGCTGCCATGCCTTTTTTGGAAAATTTTAAAAGGATGATTCCTTTTCCTCATCTATTTATAACCAAGTTAGAAAAAAATGAAATAAAACATTATCATATAAATTGTTTTAACATTTTTGTGTTGAACTACTTGTTACTAACAATCAAATAGATAACTTATCTTCCTTATCTATGAGCCATAATTTAAAATCAAATACTGTTTGGCACCCATTATTTTCAAATCTCTGGTGTATACAAGTGCTACTGACTGAAACGCCTTCAGTACTGGACTTATATACATTTGACATAATATCGCCTAGAGGTGGTAGGATTAGTAAAGATTATAAGATTTTACCTGAAGACTGCATAAATAGAAGTCAGGTAAGGTGTTTTTTAAGCAGCATAAGTTATATATGAAATGTTTCTTATTATTTTTTAATGAAGTTGCGTGAAGGGGATGTGAAAACAATTACGCTTATAGATGAACATGCAAATCAATTATCTCATTCAATATTTGCGTATGTAGAATATCTGGGGTGTTCTGCTAGAGTATATATGACAAAAAATATGTTTATCTGTCTCTAGTGAATTTATAAATTACTAACCATGTTTCTTAAAGAATGGTTGGAAAGGTCGTATTTCGGTTCCGAAAGACAAGCCACTTAATCTGTGTAATATTGAGTGTTATGGTAATCATAACTCTAAACACGTTCAAAAAAAAACACTCCGAATGTCAAATTCAGTAAGAAAAACTATCGCAAACAGAGTTGCGAATGTAACACCTTCAATGTTAGCGACAGGTAAGTATAAAAATAAAATTGATCTTAAAAAATTCGAATTTTTAAATTTAATAATCTTGTTTTCAGAACTTATGAACAATTCAAAAATTCTTGATACAACCTCTAATACACCACTAAATCACATTTAACCAACATCTACCCGATTTGCACCCAATCTCGAATCAATTCAAAATGCCCTTAAGTATAACAAAAAGTTGCATTATCCAAGTGTCTCAGATCTTGAGAAAGTAAGAATTGGCAAATTTATTCTATTTTATTTATTTATTACTTATTTACTTTTGCTTTGATTAACAAGTTTGTTCTCTAATAGATGATTATGAGGCTGAAGGCACTGTTATATCGAAGCAATATGGTATTAAGGATACCCAAGATCCAAAAAAACAAGCCGTGCTCCTTGGTATTGCATCTACAATTATGCCAGCCCTTTTAACCAAATATCCAAACTTTTTTGCTTTAGACTCTACTAGTCGTCATAACAGCTTAAACTTCCCAAAACTGCTTTTATGGTTAGATCGGATGAACCTCATGGTTGAGTTGTAGCAACCTTTGTGAGTGACAAGGAAACAATACCAGTTGTTGGTCTTATGTTTGATTTGGTGAGTATTTCTCTGTTTCCTATAGATTTTACTGGATAATTTTATAACCCTAGCTGTTTAAAGTTTATTCAATATAGTATTGATAATGGTGCCCAATTGAATCCTAAATGGTTAGCCATGGACAAATAGGATCCTTACCTAGTGGCGGCTAAAAAACACTTTCCCAATGCACAAGTAGTTTTGTTTTTGTTTTTTTTTTTTGGTATTAAGGTGACCTTATTGGCCTAGTGACTTTTTATTAGAGTATAGACGATGTTTTATAATGTAATTACAACAATGGTATATTAAGCCACACGTGCACTTTTGGTGCCTAATTTAAGTGGTCTGCCCGAAACATTAGTACTATACTAAGAGTTCCACACTATCTGCCGTACCTGCACCCCAACTACGGGGGTACCCATTTAAACCATCTGGTTCTAACTACCATCATCAGCCCTCTAACTTGTGGTATTACTCACCATTTATATACTAGATTTTGCATCTACCCGATTTGAGTTTTGCACCCTACCTTAGGACTTACTAACTTAGGCTAGTCTATCCTTGAGGTAAACCTAACAGAGTAATACATGTCCTATACATGTATTCACCTACATGTTCCTATAACTTCTTCCTAATTAGTACATATTGACCTGCTGTTCTGTATTCGTATTTCACACCACCTTTTGGGGTGCTGCTATTCTACAGACGTTTCTCAAGCACCAACCTTCCTAATCAGGTACCCATTACGTACTTCTTGCCCTTATTCGGTTCACAACAAACCCGATACCCACATTTGGACCATCTTCTTACCCGGATTCTTTATTAGTCCCTCCTTTACTTCCAGCCGGCAACCTGGAAGGGTTGGTCTGCCCAGGCTTTAAGTGCCTGAAAGACGCCCTCCTCTTGGTTCATACTTTTGGAGCGTATGCCTTTTTCCTTCAGGGCGACAACCTAGCGGTTTGGCTGATGTGTCCTCTGCCAGCGGACCTGGTTGCTCGGTTCTCCAATCTCGGTCTCCAGTTCGAATTCAGCCCTCCTGTGGTACCATCAAAGATCATTGCTACCTCCAAATTTGGAACTTGCCAAATGGGTTTTCAGTTATGCCGGTTCCTCGAGTTTATTGCGCCGAAGCTCTCATTTCTAAATGGTGTGACCGAAGTTACAGATTATAATTCTAGATCCAACCGATAAGCATAGCCATCAACTGAACACAAAGAACACAGGTCTATTTTTCAAATATTATCGCCAGTGGGATTTGAACTCTAGACCTGCCACTTGGAGAGAGTGACGACTAGACTACTACACTAAGTTGCCACACCTCTGCACAAGTAGTTTTGTGTAACTAGCATGAAGGTAAATTTATATATATATATATCCAAATTTGGGCTTTGTAATTTATCGCCATAGCGATATATCGCTAGTCTATGCGGAGTTTCAAAACTGTGCTTACGAATTATTAATTTTAATGATTTGTAAGCACACTTTGAAACTCTAAATAGACTAAAGATATTTCGCTATGATAATAAATTACAAAATCCATAAATTTTTGTTCTTTTATCTAAAGCTTTTTTTTTAATATTTTTTTGATTTTCTAGCTGACGCGCTTAAAGAATGGTTTATAAAAAATTTGAATGATCAATGGCTTAGAGATCGAATATTCTATCAATTTCAATTTGTTAAACAGTTTCGAAATTAGGAAGAAGTCGATCAACAAAAGACCATTATTATAGATGTGAAGAAACTTCAGGCTGCTACTAGAATTGTAAGCTTAGCCATTGCAGAGACAATTACATCATATTTTCAAAAGTACTAGTTTAGTAATTGGATTGGTTAGTAAAATTTTTTGTTTTTTGATGCCTTTTATATTTTACACTAATACCATAACAGATATATAGCCAGATTATAAATGTGATGGTTGTCCTATGAAAACTAATATATTACTCGAAAGCTACTTTAAAAAAGATATGATATTGCATTACTGAGGGAAATATATAAAATCTCTGCACTCCAACCTCGAGAAAATAACTATGTCTATACATGTAGATAGTGGGGAAATTGAAAGGTAAACAAAAGATTTTTTATTTTTATTTTTTTTATATACAGTATATAATTTGCATTTTTCTATAAAGGTTCTGGCGAGGGGAAGGCAAACCTCTTACAATATCAAAACTTCAACGAGATAAAAAAAAAGTGAATAGAATGAGTGAAAGTTTATATAAACAAAACCTTGTTCAAGGGAGGTACAAATGTGCTAAAGTTTAATATATTAAATTCTTGTAATATAAATCTAAATTGTATTATAGGTTCGTGTATAAAAATAGCGTATTTATATTCACAAATAACTTACATTTATATTTTACTGTTTTAAACCTTAGAAATTGATCAGGATACTTGGAATGTGTCCCGGTTTAGTACGAATGTTGATAATGAAATAGATGATGATAGTGAAGACTTTAAATCAGAGACTTCTAATTCAATTGATGGGAGTAATGACAAGCAACAGATAATATTGTGTGTTATACACTGAAGTGGAAAGTTCGCTTGCCCATGTAGTTTTAATGTAATCCGTGGCCATGATTGTCAGGATATTATAGATGTTTGGTTATTCATTGATAAGCCTGAGTTACAAAAGTAAGTGTTATTTGGTTGCTAATTTTTTATATATATTTATTAATATTTCTAACTCTTCCTTTTATAGTATCTTTAATTCTCATGATAAATCCAAGCTAAAGTGGTATTTGATTTTTTTATTTTTTATGGTGAATACACAATACCATAATCAATTGTCAATAGTACTGTAGTATAAAGGAAATATGAAATATATTTTATACTATATGATCTAGGTATCGCATATGTGTCATATCGCTATTATTAAACCGAAATCGTTATAAGGCGAGATTGTTTATTTTAGCACGATGTTTGAATTAGAAGTCTATAGTTAAAAATTAAAAAATAGTCAATTAAATATTCAACTATGAATTTTTCTACTGAAATAAAGAATTTTTAAATTAGAAAGCTACGCAATTAATCCGATAATATATACTAATGTATCTTCTACTTTTCTTTATACTTATATAGGTCTACAGATGAATTAGCTGCAAGCAGCTCTCTCGAGTCTTATCTTCGCCAAAAAGACGCCAATAGTCGCAATAAGGATGAACTCAGATTATCTGAAAAAAGGGGCCCTAAGAATAAGAGAAAAAATCGATTAGTGCCAGGAAAATCTATTCAGCTCCAAGATACAATTTTACATATACCTTACTATATGGTAAAGATTGTTGAAATTATTGGCGAGAGTAAGGTTATCGTGAATATTACCTTTGAAAATGGCGATAAAGATCAATACATAGTTCAGTTAGATGATATAATCAGATATGCCGATGAAAAAGTAAAAAAAAAACAAAGGTAATACGATTATATTTCATCTAATTACTTTACAAAACTTAAATATCTTAATATACAGTACTGCATAGTAATATAATTACTATATATATATTAAATTTAATCATAGCTACATAATTACCATGCAGTTACTACACACTAAGAGATTTAAGTTTTTGTATAATATTTACTTTGATAACAATACTTTATAATTGATATTAGGCAAATAAGCAAATTAAACCCACACTATCATCTACGGATTCTCATGGTAATGTCATCATTTTTACAATGCCATATGGAGGAAAGAAAGGCACATTATATTTAACCTCCACATGTCTAGTGGATACAAGTCTTACACTTATTCAAAGTGCTTTTACTTACCAAGATATTTATAAGCAAGCTACTGCTTTTGCACTTTTCGATCCAAATTCACATACTAACCTTCTTCTTCAAGTTTTTAACTGAATGAAACAAAAAAAAATAGGTAGAAGCTAAATTCCTTTGGATTGAAAATTTACCGTCATACATTAAATTAACAAGGACAGATCAAGTAGATTTGTTTGGGGGACTTTCAGAACGGTTTTTTAGACAATTTTTTCGGGATTCTTTAGACAGAAATCTCCTTGTAGTCAAAAGCCCAATAACGGATATGTACGATTCAGAATACTGCCCTAAGAGCCTCATGTTTAACAAATTATTCTGATATTTTACTTGTATAAGTAACTGCATAACAATTTCTATTTTATGCCCTCTTAGAACAGATCGTTTAACCTTCGTTTAACATTCATTATTGGTTTAATGTAACAAATTTTATGATTACTATTTTTTAAATAATATTCGTAAAATCTAATTGTTTTCCTTTTTTATATATATTTCTTTTAGAAAATCCCAAGTACCTGTGTTACTGGGAAATAACTATCTTGAAACATATCTTAAAAGTTGGCAAGAGCCTTATATTGCCCATGTAGCGCAGAATTCAAGACTATGAATAAAGAGGAGCCGATAGATATTCCTGCAAATGCTTTCAAAATTGATAAATATAAATCAGTAGAAACTGGAAATGTCAAGTAAAATGATTCATTTTTACTCTTACTTATATACTTTCTACTTCTAATATTTTTTTAGACATTTATATCTATGTGCGGGCAAGTTAAATCAACAAGACACATCGACTAGCGGTTACCTTTAATTCTTGTGATCAACATTGCAGGTATTAGTGTTACTGATGAAGGGATGTATATTGAAAATAAAGACATCCCAGAAGAAATTGATTTTCCTTTAGAAAATGCAGATATAAAACAAAGGTAAGACCTAATGTTGATTTTATCTCTATATATTTACTAATTTCTAAATGCAGATACTATAGCTTTTTTTGCATCACTTATGTAGATATCGACTCACAAGAGTTTCTTTTTGTGATAGTAACCACCATATTGCGGATGTCCATTTTGAAAATATCAGAAATACAGGTTGATATCAGTATAATGAAATAGGAAAGACCTATCGTGCAAGGGCAATGTATATAGAAAGTTTACGTCCACCTCACATAAAGAATTATGCTATGGATTATATGATTTATGTAAAAATTTGAGTTTTATGTATCTTTTGGCAATGAGTTATTTAAGCATTATATATGTAATTTGAATATCTTTATTTTTAAATTATGTTAATTTAATGCATTTTTAATTTCAATTAAATATTTAAGACCGTAAAAAGAAGGTATATGAGTAGTATCTGAAATTAAAGATAAAAAATAGACACTTTAAAGATGAAAAGAAGGCTTAGAATAATGTTTAAAATTTGTTAAATGCAGAAATCTTGATGAACTAATGCTAGATATTAAATGGTTCAAATTATCAAAAAAATCTTTATGTAAATTTTAATAAAAAAAGTGTTTCAGTGCTTATATATTAAACTTGGTTGTGAGATATTTCAAATATTGGCATTCCTGGATTAATTAGCGCTAATTTTTAACTCTAAGGCTAAGTTTTGAACAAGGCAATTAATGGACTTCAACTAAAATTTTATCATATGGATTATTCTTAAAATCAGATTACATATTTTACTTATTTGCCTAACAATGGAGGTAGATCTTTATTGTTTATGATGTACAGCATTTTTTTCAATTAGATTGGACCCGTTTAAAATTTAAGCACTAGTTTACCCACTGTTTTAAAATTGTTAACCGAGTCATAAAGCGAGTTACTTATTCAAATAATTTTTATATCTTTTTTTCACTTAGTCGCAATGATTGAACATTAACAAATTACATTGAGAAAATTCTTTGTTTATGAATAACTAATCCAGGCCACCCGGGTAACAATGACCATAATCCGATTTGTAAAACTTATATGGGCACAATCGCTATTTACAGTAACCTTTACAAAAGAAAACTTATTGAAGCGAACTTAATTAAATTGCTTATTTTATTGTAAAAATTTGATATATATTTTTTTCATATATAAAGTCAATTCGCTTTTAAATATATTATTTAATAAATATTTCCTTTAATCGCTATTAAATTTGAATAAAACAAATTGAGTAATACAGCAAAACCTCTCTAAGTGCACCTTCTATAAGTGCACACCCTCTAAATGCACACACCCAAATGTATACATGACCTCCATAAATACACTTTTCCTTATTGTTCTCTAAGTGCACGTCGTTAAATTCTGGTCCCGAGTGCGCGCACTTAAAGAGGTTTCACTGTATTACCTAATGATAAATATTTGTGAACTTCAGTTATCGACTTATTTACAAGCTTAATTTGAATGAATGAACTAAATTGGAATTGTTACCTGATGGTGATATTCATTAGGTCTAATCTCTATATATATATTCGTAAATTTAATGCCGATCGGGAATTACTAGATATTTAATGCTGCAGGCCTTAGAACACTAAACAATATACATATGGACATTACTACCTAATTATATACTATGAAAATTTTAGCCACTTTAACTCTCTAG